GGAATGCTGTTTTTAGTTTTGTTTTTAAGTCTTATAGCCAGCCTTTCCTCATGGTTCAAGGCAGCAGTGAGTGCAGTTCAATGTGAGTTCAGTTCTTTTTTTGGCAGAATTCTAATAAAGCAGGATTCTTTTGTGGCTAAAATCATACTGATTAATTATTTATTGTGGTCTTTTATTAATAATCAGATTGCCTTCTACGTTGCAAGGCTTGGTTTCTCTCTGGGTCATCTGTTTTCCTTCACTAAGAGGTTCTCTGGTTTTTGTAGTACTGAGGGCCGGAACTCTGTTTTTTGTTCTCATGTGATTGTGGAAAAGATCTGGTCCCACATCGAAGTGGAGGAAGGAGAAGAAACATGAACTAAACTGGACATTTTATTGCAACAAAACAGCAGTGTATAAGACCTGATTGATTCTATGAGGGTACAGCAAACATACCAAATTGCTTATGGAGCAGAAAAGGGTGTTGCTAGTTGCCAAGCAATGTGTAAGACTTCTGCTTAGCTGGGCTGTGAACTGTTCCACAGCTGCTGAAACTGGTTTATATGCAAATTATGCTAAACAGAAGCCATACCTATGGATTTAAGAAGGTGAATGCCCTTGAGAAGGGTACAGTCGGGAGTTAAGAATAATTGACCAGATAAAAAACATTGACATTTCATCAGCTAATAAATAATGCTTGTCCAAGTAGCAGCATGCTTTGTCTCTAAACTTGAAGCATACAGTACATCTTCCGACTAGAATCAATACGATGGCATTTTCTGAGAAGATACTAAGAAGATAATCCATTAATTCATGGGACAGTATCATTGCCTGTTTAGGCAGGTTTCTGCAAAAAGTAGACTTTGCGTAGTGACTGCTTCATTCTGAGGACAGTAGTAGTAGTAGTCGTAGTCGTAGTAGTAGTAGTAGTAGTAGTAGTACCACCCCAAATCTCAAAACCATCTCTACTGTGCAAGGTTTAATGACACTGACTGAGGATATTTTATTTATTTATTTATTTGGGTTTATATCCCCCCTCCCCTTAACGGGCTCAGGGCGGGTTCCAACAGTCTAAAATATAATAAAATTAAAACCGCATTAAAACACAAAATAAATAACGTAACTCATATGTGCCATACAACTCTAATAAAAACCAGATACCTCAGTGGTGATGGTATTAAGATTTAAAGGGTTTTTTTTTTAAGATCTTTAAGATTTAAGATCGCAGGACCCAGGCTACAGATGGAAGCCAACCCAAGGAAGGAAGGGGACGCCCGCTGCCTCAACCAAAAGCCCGGTGAAAGAGTTCCATCTTGCGGGCCCTGCAGAATTGTAATAAATCCTGCAGGGCCCTGATCTCACATGGGAGCTCATTCCACCAGACAGGGTCCAGGGCCAAGAAAGCCCTGGCCCTGGTCGAGGTAAGTCAGATGTCTTGGGGCTGGGGACCACCAAGAGATGTTGGTCAGTGGACCTCAGTGCTCTGCAGGTCTCATATGGGGAGAGGTGGTCTCGAAGGTATGCTGGCCCCTGGCCGTATAGGGCTTTAAAGGTAAGTACCAGCACGTTGAAATGGATCTGGAATTTGATAGGCAGCCAGTGCAGGTCACACAGCATTGGGCGGATGTGCACCTGCACAGACGTCACCATCAACACCCATGCTGCCGCGTTCTGCAACTTCTGGAGCAGAGTCAAGGACAGCCCCAATATAGAGAGAGTTACAGTAATCCAATCTGGAAGTGACCATTGCATGGATCACTGTAGCTAAGTCTTGGGAGGTGAGTTATGGGGCCAATTATCTGATCTGCCTCAGATGAAAAAAGGCAGACCTGGGCCTCCATAGAAAGGGAGGCATCCAGGAACACCCCCAGGCTCTTCACCCCTAATGTTGGGACAAATGGGGTCCTATCGAAGGCTGGGAGCCTGGTTCCCTGTCCCAGTCCCCCATGACCCAGGTACAGGACCTTCATCTTAGATGGATTTAGCTTCAGTCGGCTCTGACGTAAGCCACAGCCTGTAACACCTCCTCCAGCTCTCCAGGGGCCATATCCGGGTGGCCGTCCATCAGTAGATAGAGCTGGGTGTCATCTGCGTACGGGTGATACCCCAGCCCATACTTCCGGATAATCTGGGCAAGGGGGAACATATAGATATTGAATAATATAGGGGAGAGAATTGCTCCCTGTGGCACACCACATTCCAGTGGGTGTCACTGGGATGGCTCCCCCCCAAGCACCACCCTCTGTCCCCACTGTTGGAGAAAGGAGGTCAGCCACTGCAAGGCAAGCCCCCATATCCTAGTGTCAGCAAAGTGGTGGGTTAACATATCATGGTCAACCATGTCAAACTCTGCTGACAGATCAAGAAGTATCAGCGCTGATCTGCCTCAATCCAGGTGTCTCCAGAGGTCATCTACCAGGATGAGCAGCACCGTCTCCATCCCATGGGCGGGGCGAAAGCCAGACTGGAAGGGGTCCAGGATATGAGGCTGACTGCTTGCAAGTCATTCGGCTTGGGTGCAGTGATTCACAAATTGGTGACCAACTGATTTCAATTGGCATTTCATGGTTGGTCATTTGATCATTATGGGGAAAGGTCCCCTCATCAGACCAGTATTAGGAAGCTTTAGGGTGGGAAATGGGAAGATTCATAGCTCTTGAGAGATTCTTTAATATGCCTAACAAAATAATGGTAATGGTCCTTACAACGTTTTAAATAAAATAGAGAAAATACATTATGTTTCATAAAATCAGCTGTGTCTGAAATTCATTTGCTATAAATAAACAAAAATTATGGTAGATTTATGTCTTCTGATTTCTAAATCTCTAATCTCTCTACTGAGAAAGGAAACATTGCCTTACTTATGATAAATATCCTAAGACATTAAGTCAGGAGATGGTCTGACATCAGTCAACTTGGGTATATTTCAAAGGCATTCTGGCATGATACTGGGCTTTGTGACTTGAAGAACTAGTTTAAAAATGATGGCAGCACTGTCAATTGGATGAACATTAACTGCCACTCTACATTGTTGAAAGGAAAAGGGGTCAATTTGGTTAAAATACAGAAACATTTTGGAGTGGGATTTATACAAGGAGGAGTAAAAGGTGCTCCTACTACTTCAAATTTTTCAAAATTATTTTACTTTGTAAATAAGAATTTAGGACTGCAAAAAAGGAACAATTCCTCAATGGTATTTTAAAACTTTAGACAGATTTAAGTAATTTCATGGTCTTTATAAATAATTCACTCTTAAAGCCTTCAGATAATAACAATAGAGTATTAATGAATGGGCTGATTTCATTTGTTATATATTAATCCATAAGAATTAGTTTTTGTGCACAGAGGAAGTGTAACTTGATTATCGTGGTATGTATCCTACTCCTCCTCTGTGGTACCACTTCCCATGCTGGCTCTTAGATTAGTTATATTTTTTGAAACTGTATTACCATTGGTTTCTGCAGTGGCACCTCACATTTGTTTCTCTGTCAATTTTTAAAATCAACTTCACTAAAATCATAGTCGCTATACTCGCCATGTATGACTTTACCAGATTTCAAAGATGGCGTTTACAAACAGATAAAGGAGCCAAATTCACAGTCAAATTTTAATTGTTGTCCTTGTAGCACTTTCACAGCTGCTGTCAAGCTGCTGTTCCATTTTAAAAGAAGTTTGCTTCTTCCTTAGCTGTGAGATGTGCAACAGTGAAATTTGCAAGTTGAAGGTATGCTTAGTTCATTTGGCAAAGCACACTATTCTTTCAGAATGACTTAGTAGAAAAGTCCCTTTTGTTCTAAGAATGACAGAGTGACAGAAGCAGTACTAAGATGGCTTGTAAGGAATCTAAATCAGAATCATTTTGCAACTCCAATAATTGTAAAGATCTAACTGCTTATGGAGATACTTAAGTAAATACCCTTTTGCATAATGGCTTAAATATCGTTGTGGTCTGATGAAATACACGGCAGAGATGTCAGAAGACTCCTATAAAGGAGTGTTGTTTTGTTACTCATACTCCCTGGTCAGAAGAATGGTCATTCTGCTGTTGACCACCTCTGCTTTGACTGTATTTCTGAAAAAACATTCTACCATTCTTGATGTTTTATGTGTTCTTAGTAGCATAGCCTATTCCAACAGGTAGAACTCCAATGGAAAAATTAGAAATTTGGGGGAATACTGGGGGGAAAACTCTTATGAGTTTTTCTTTCTTTTCAAATGAGTGAAATGCTTTTAAAGACAATGTGGGTGTGTTGTAGATATATACAGTTCTTAAATCCAAGGTGTATTTCTCACCTGGAATGATATCTGATCTTCATGAGCGGACCATGCAAGGCTCTTATTGCTTTTCAGCTGTTGCATCCCCTCTGTTGCCCTTTTGACCTGTCTTGTGGTTGACCATCTCCCTCAAACCATTGTGACACTTATACCCACAGATTGGGTAAAAAGTAGATTATTCCACTATTTTGCAGGATGGAGAAAAAAAGGAGGTGGGGCAGAAACTGCACCAAAACCTCAGAGAAAAATGGAAAGTTTTAGTCTCTCTAACCAGATAGCAAAAATTAAAGCACATGTGCTAAGATAGCATAGGGTGCATCAGCTTGCGATTTTCTCTCAAGTACTGAGTATATTTGCAATTCTAAACTAAGACATTCAAAAAGTGTAAATTCTGTAAATATGTCAAATATTGCAATTTTATATGCTAAATAAGTTACAAATGACACATTTTATGTTGTTAAAGCAGTAATATTAATTTAGGTTTGATAGGACAAGTAAGTATTGTAGATAGTTCAGCTTTTCCCAGGTTTTTTCCATGGCTTCAAAAGTTGCAGAAATTTTACATCTCTGCTTATGACAATGATGTGAAGTTGCCGCCTCCCAGAGGTGAGGGGGGTATATGGGTAGTATCTCCTGTTAACTGAACTTTTCTTCTGCAGAAGCTATGGGGAACCCTTTGGCTTCCCAACTCCTTCACAGTCTATGTATGCTATTGTATTATTGCTGACTGCCCTTTTTACCTACAGGGCGATATACTTCTGAAAGTGATGTATGGAGTTTTGGTATCTTCCTTTGGGAGACTTTCAGTTTAGGTGTGTGCCCATACCCAGGAATGACTAATCAACAGGCACGGGAGCAAGTAGAGAAAGGTAAGTGTGTGCCTGGAGTTTTGTGTATGATTAAAAAACCTGACTACAAGTAATCCTAGATAAAGCTGTGTGATATGCTATAGTCCATTGGTGTGAAGGTCTCTGATCTAAAGAAATTCTGAAGTATGTACAGAGTTTTCAGATAGAGGGTAATCACCCCCAAAAAGTATCATGTAGATGATTTAGCAAGTATTGTATTTGTTGCATAGTTTTGGAATTTGAAATCTGTTTCAATAATCAAAATGCTTAGCTATCTGATTTCTGAATTCTCTGTGAGTTAGTTTCAACAAGATAGTGCATATAGGGGACTTCTTTCTTTTAATACCTTTAAATAAAAGCAAAGGGGGAAAAACAGTTTTAGCATTGATAGAATACAGCATCTTCCTGGAATGCTGTTCAACCATTATGTGGGCCAGGGAAAAAATGAGACAAAATATGTGGACAAACTAGAAGTCCTCTCTGTGTGTGTTGAGACCCACTGACATTTATTTATTTATTTATTTATTTATTATTCACATTTTTATCCCGCCCTCCCCGGAGACATACATCATTAGCACTGTGAGAGCTGCTTTGCCATGAAGGAAGAAACCTATAAGATGGCCATGGTTGTTTAATTTAGGTTTCTTATGCATAACACAGTGGTATGGGATATAGCCACAGCTAAGAGGTTCCTGTGATGCTAACTGTAGACACAAATGAGACCCAGAACGCACAGAAATATGACCCAAATACACTATGTGATAAAAGTTGCTTACATTTAACTGTAATTTCATGCTTTATGGAAGGGTAGCAGGGTGTGTAAAGCTCTATGTGAAAATGAAGCAAAACATCAATATTTCCAACAATGAACATGACCTTATTTGTAGATACTTAAATCTATGGATCAGGGCCATGTGCAGGCTATTTTGGAGAACCCCTACATTTGTAGAAAAATCCAAAACTTGGGGAAAATACAGGGGAGATGAAATCACCCAAAGCAGAGGAGTGTTTGCACACAATGCACCTCTGCTGGAGCCACCATTCCGTAGAGTCTGAAGGTGCCACCCCACCAGAGGATGGGGTGATGTGAGGTGGACAATGAGGGTTGCCTGTGTGGATCCTACAGTGAAGAGAAGGTTAGTTGGGCGGGCAGGCCTGCAGAGCAGTGAGAAGGGATGCCTGCAGGAAACGTGGTGAGGAGGGATGGGTAAGCTGAGTGACAGGGTGGGGGTGGGCTGAGGAAAGGGGTGGGCGGGCAGGCCCAGTTGTGAAGGGGTGAGTAGACAGGCAGAGCAACAAGGAGGGAGTGTATGGGTGGGCAGAACAGCAAAGAGAAGTTGAGGGGTGGGTGGGCAACATGGCAAAGTCGGGTGGATGGGAAGGTAGAGTGGGGAGGGGTGGATGGGTCAAATGGCTGGGGTAGGCAGGCAGAGCTGTGAGGAAAGGGGTGGGTGGCAGGGAGGTAAGACTGAGGAAAGAGCAGGTGGTGGGAGGACAAGGGAGAAGTGGGGGACCAGTGTTGAAGGGTAAGGAAGGAAAAGGAATATGATGTGGAAAGAAAGAGATGAGAGGAGGAGATAGCAGCGAAAGAAAAAGGATAAAGAAAAGTGGCTGGGGATGGAATCAGAAGCCAAAGGAGAAAGCAAGGACCAGTGAGGGAATTTGTCTGTGAGTTTCTCACACTTGTCTCTCTTAAATGTTAGGCAGACGAGCACTCACCGATAAGGGATATGGTTTTCAGAATACAGTTGGACTTTCCTCAGATCCAGTAAATCACTCTCTCTTACAAAATTCCATAGCAGCTTGTATTGTCCTATATGGAATTGGTCATTATGTTGCCTGTTTTTCCCATGAGATGATGAAGAAGAAGAGATTGGATTTATACCCCACCGTTCACTTGGAGTTCACTTGGAGTCTCAGAGCGGCTTACAAACTCCCTTCCCCTCCCCACAACAGACACCCTGTGAGGTGGGTGGGGCTGAGAGAACTCTGACACAAACTGCTCTTTCAGGAACAGCTGTGCCAGAGCTTGTGACTGACCCAAGGTCGCATCAGCAGGTGCAAGTGGAGGAGTGGGGAATCAAACCCGGTTCTCCCAGATTAGAGTCCGCGCACTTAACCACTACACCAAACTGGCTTTAGATCCATGTAGTAAACATCAACAATACATAGAGGTTTTACGGAGGTTCCCTATCTTTGAAATTACAAAATATAACACTTGTTTTTTTTCAAGCCCTGGAGGATCCCCTTTCATAGTTTAAGGGCAACCATGTTCTTTGCCTCTGTCCCCCCTAGGAAGATTTTTCATGAGCCTTCGGGGTAGGGCGGGATATAAATCCAAAGATTTTTTTAAAAATGTTTGAACAGCAGGGAGAATGTTACTGTATGCTGATTAGGGGTGTGCATTCAGATCTACCCGAGTTTAAATTGGACTGCAGAAGAAGCAAGCCCAGTCAGGATCTTCTGTGCCCATGGGGAGCAGATTGTTCCCTACTGGCTCAGCTTTGCACCAGCTTTTTCTGCAGCCTGGAGCTTAGACGACTAGAGAGATAGTAGCGATGCACTCGGGACAAAGCGTCAAGAGCGTTTATGAGATCCTATGAGATGTCAGTCAAGGCCACGAAAAAATATTACTACACGGCCACGATTGCCTCTACGAGCTCTCGCCCAGCCCAAATATTTAGAACAATTCAGTCTCTTACTACTCTGCCACAGGGCAGACCAAATGATAAGGAACTGGAAATTGGCTGTGAGGCTTTTGCGGACTATTTTGCAGATAAAGTCTTGTCGCTCTGCCACAACCTCCCCGCCACAGTTGAGACAGTGACGGAACTTGAGGCTCCATGCACGTCTTCTGGTCAAGTTTTGGATTATTTCAGTCCACTCAGCCTAGAGGAGGTCGACAAATTACTCTCATCAGTTCGCCCAACCACCTGTAGCCTTGATATGTGCCCATCATGGCTAATTAAAGCAGGCCAGGATGGGCTGCGAGGGGCACTAAGGGAGATTGTCAACAAGTCCCTCACAGAGGGACTGTTCCCTAGTGCCCTAAAGGAGGCAGTGGTCTACCCCCTCCTAAAAAAGCCATCATCAGATCTGGCTGAATTGGCTAATTACCAGTCAGTATCCAATTTGCCCTACTTGGGCAAATCAATTGAGAAGGTGGTGGTGAATCAGTTGCAGGGTTTTTTGGATGACGCCTCCATATTAGATCCCTTCCAGTCCGGCTTCCGACCAGGCCACAGGACAGTCCTGGTTGCCCTCACAGATGATCTCCAGAGGCATCTGGATCGAGGCGGTATGGCAGCATTGATGTTGTTAGACCTGTCTGCGACGTTCGACACGGTCGACCATCAACTACTGATCCACCGCCTCACCAACACCGGGATTCAGGGGTTTGCCTTGCAGTGGCTCTCCTCTTTTCTCCAGGGTCAGGGACAGAGGGTGGCAGTTGGAGAACAGCTATCCGGAAGGCACCCGCTAATTTGCAGAATGCCACAAGGAGCAGTGCTTTCCCCAATGCTGTTAACGTCTATATGCACCCCCTTGCCCAGATTGCACGGAGACATGGCCTGGGCTGTCACCAATATGCAGATGTCACCCAGCTCTATCTGTTGCTGGCAACCAGTCAGACTTTAGTCTAGGAGATCTGGATCTGGCATTGAAAGCTGTGGCTGGTTGGCTTAGGCTGAAATTGAATCCGATGAAGATGGGGGTCCTGTGCCTGAGTCGGAGCGGTCCAAGGTTAGGGATCCTTCTCCTGACCTTCGATGGGGTGCCGTTGGTGCCAGCACCGGAGTTTAGGAATTTGGGAGTGCTCCTGTACACCTCCTTAATGATGAAAGTCCAGGTAGCAGCCACTGCGAAGTCTGCCTTTTACCATCTATGTCTGATCTAGCAGTTGGTTCCCTTCCTTGAACGCAATGACCTGGCAACAGTGATCCACGCAACGGTCACCTCGAGACTGGATTACTGCAATGCTCTCTACATGGGGCTGCCCTTGTCCCAAATCCAGAAGCTGCAGCTGGTGCAGAATGCAGCAGTGAGGCTGTTGCTGTGTCTTCCTATGTGGGAACACATCCAGCCCACCCTAAAAGCACTGCACTGGCTGCCTATAGCATACTGGATATGGTTCAAGGTGCTGGTTCTTACCTTTAAAGCCCTATATGGTCGGGGACCTACTTACCTAAGGGACCGCCTTTCCCTGCATGTACCCCAGCGAGCACTGAGATCGGGTTCCCAAAATCCCCTGGCTCTTCAGGGCCTAAAGAGGCCAGGTTGGTTACAACGAGGGCCAGGGCCTTCTCTGTGGCGGCCCCTCACTGGTGGAATGAGCTCCCGGATGACATCAGGGCCCTGCAGGACCTTTTGCAGTTCTGCAGGACCTGTAAAATGGAGCTCTTCCGCCAGGCTTTCAAGTATGGCCCGCCTTGACATCATGGCCCTGGCCTTAATATTAACACCACCAGCAGCCTGGCCTTGACGTCAACACCTCCACCAGCCGGATAATTAGCAACTTGGCAGGAGCCTGGAGGCAGCCATTCAAATGATGATAGAGTGTCGCCATCTGTATTATGATTATGTGTTTTATATTGTAATCTTAATTTAATGTTGCTTTTAGTATATATATTGGAATTTTAATGTATATATTTATACATATGTTGTTAGCTGCCCTGAACCCGCCACAGCGGGGAGGGTGGAATATAAATTTAAGCATAAATAAATAAATCCAAGTTGCAGGAGAAGCCAAACCAGCCCCAGGATTGGGCTGGCTTTTTTTTTTTTACTGGTATTTTCTTGGGTCTATTGGACCCCAAAAAATTCAGGATTTCTGGAAAACCCACCACTTTGCCACCACTTGCATTGCAACCTGGTGTGAAAATTCCTTAATATATTTCAGAGAAAGCATGTGTCTTAATATTCTATGGGTATCAGCTCTAAGGAAGCTGGGTCATCCGATTGAAATTACAGTCCGTCCGTCCCCAAATTCAAGCACATTTTCAACTGTCATCTCTTTTCTTTATATGTTAGGCTATCGAATGTCATTACCTCAGAAGTGCCCAGAGGAGATATATAAAATAATGCAGCAGTGCTGGAATTACAACCCTGAACTCAGACCAAAATTCTATGAGATTCACAAAGAACTGGCTGCAATCAAGAAGAGAGTGACATAGTGAAAAACTAACAGGACTCAAACTACAGGACGCTTCTCTTTTTCCAGAAAAGTAATATTTTGTCATGAACACTATGCATTTGTATCACATTGCTTTTGGTTTTCTCCTGGGGTTTTTTCTAAAAGAATGGTTTGTGTACAAATTTGTCAGGCTGCAAAACATCAAACATATGTGGAAGAGAAAGAAAGGGCTCTGCCAAATGCTATATAGCCAATCACAGTGATGCTGTCTTTTACGTTGTGTGTACTTCAAAAACACACACACACGAACTCTGACTCTTTTCTTGTACTGTGATAAATTCCTCACAATGTTTTTTCCCGTTTTCTTGGCTTTCAGTTCAGTGCCAAGTTTTCACACTAGTCATTCTGTCAGCCGACTTATGCACCATTCCTATAAGTCTTAAAACTGAAGGCACAGTTTTTAATATTACCTCAATTTTAAAAGATTATACAATGTACTGCTCTGGGGGGGAAACACTAACACCAGAAGCTAATCTAATCTTGGATTTGCTAGTTCTTGTTCTAAAAAAACAAAATAAGCTGAAGATTTGTTTGTGGAACAGGAAGTGCATTCTAAGTTTCTTGCAAATATTCCGAGATTCAGTAAACATTTCCAACACTGAGCATTATTTATTTCTCTTTAAAAAAAAAAACAAAAACAGGGGGAAAGCCATGATTCATCAGGAATCAGCATGCACAAATCTGTTTGGTCTAGCCTTTATTTAAAAACAACAACACTGAAGCTGGGTCATGTATGATATATATTTGTCAGGAAATATTGCAGATGATCTGTCTTTTCTGAAGGATGTGCACATTTAGAAGTGCTGTCAGCAAGAAACGTGTTTCAGAATGAGAATGGCATACAATGAGGGTAACCAGTAGCATTGATTTTGGGTGGGAAAAGGAAAGTGAATTACCAGATTGGCCTTTGGAAGCTCTGTGTATTGATGTGTTCCTGTTCTGTATGCTGCTGGAGCAAGGAAAAAGGGAAAAATTATATTCCATACACACTGTCCAAGGAGAGAAAATATCTTTCAGTAGCAAAAAGGAACTTCTAATGATACTGAAACAAGGAAATGTGTTGTCCACACTGAACAAACCACAGAATTGTAATATGTTGCAGGACTTTGCCCCCCCCCCCATTGTTCTCAGATTCTCCTGGGTTTGTTCAGTAGACACTTAGGATACTCATCAACATAGGCCATCCCAGGGCAAAAAAACCCATCATGAATGGATTACATCTGGGGTCTCCTGTAATAAAGAACTTTTCCCAGCTACTTTGTAAACTGATGATATGATTCTAAAGTGTTGGTCCATAGCTGAGGAGTCCTTTTCTTGAGGTGTCAGTTTTTTACTAAGATAACAATGTGACAATGAGTATGAACAAGCTAATCACTACTAGTATGATGGTTTGAATATAAAACAATGTTTTGAAGCTTAAATGACATTTTGTACAGTAGGACCAAGATCTTACATGTCATCTGTTTTGCTGACCCTTATAGCCAGAGCAAATTTGCTCTTTTACATGTATTTTTGTGGTAGTACAGAGTGGTAGTGTTGAGCAGGGTGTCTTCTACGTGTTGTCTAGAAAGGTTGATGTTATTGACAGGATAAAATTAATGTCAGAATAAAATGTTAAAGCATTTGTATTGAAGAAAACTGTAGGTGGACTTGTTAGCACACTAGCACAGGGGAAAGTTGGGCTTCTTTCTTTATGACACAAGGATTATTCCATAGGTTCAGAAATCAAGTGCAAAAGCAGAGAATGGGAAGACATTTTAGTCCTGTATATATACCCTGAGACTTTCTTTATTTAGCAATGGGCATACACTGGTCTTAAAGATTTGTTCCAAATGAGAAACATTAGCTTGCTTATTGTGATCCTAAAAGGATCCTAAATAGTGTGCCTTAATTCATTGGCATTCCTTTGTGTTTAATGAAATGCACAAGGACTGAATGCTGACACCATGAAGGGGAAATCACAAATCTATCTGCTGCAGGTCTTCATCTATGCATTCACTAATGTATAAATGTAAGAACAAGAATGTATTTTCCTCCCCCCCCCCCCCCCCCCGGTGTACTTAGTTTTTCTCTTAAGGGTTAATATTTTTATATAGGAGAGACTATACCATTTCTAAAAGTCTTTTGAATGTATTCTTCCTTGTTGAAAGGCAAAGGACAGTTCTTTGCCTTAATTTGATTAGCAGGACACACTGTTCTGATCTTCTTGTACAGATGTAAAGGATAACTGCTGTTTATATTTCATTTATGTAAGCAGTCAAAATTTGCAATTCATGTCATACTGCTGCTCAAATTGAAAAGCCTTTTCCAAACAGAATACCAAAAGCATGTAAAGTTTGTTCTGTCTGCCCTGTGTCTGAAATCAGTGATCTATTTAAGATCAGAAACAGTTTGGGATATTATCAGAGCTGGTTTATTCATAGTTAAGTTTTCACAAACTTTATGAACCATTTTCTTAATGTGTCTTTCTTATATATAAGACAAAAAGGCCTCTCATTTAAAATATTGAACCGAAGTATATTAAGAAGTTAAATCCATACCTGATACATGTGGACAAGAACCATTATTATCTGGGAGGTTAACAAAATACATCCTTGGGAAATAAATGATAAAAGGCAAGCCATACAACCCAAAGCTGGGATCAGCTATTGGTTTAATGAAGTCAAAACATTTTTGTGTTTTGTTCCAAAATTTAGATAGCTTTTATTCTAACAAAATTAGAATCCCCCCCCTTTTTTTAAATGCACTATTAAAATAGACTTTGTAGTATTTCATAGCGGTGGATCTTCAGAGGCTTAAAAAGTGCTGAAGAAGTTGTGCCTCTGCATTACCGTCAATTAAGAAATTTTGCCTCAAAAGCCAAAAAATTTCAAAACTTTCAGTTTTGTGCTTGGAGCCCATTACTACAGTCTCTTTGGTTTTTAGAAAATATGATTTTAAGAAAATGTTTATAAGGAAAGCTCCAAATGAAATAAAAATCTTCTCCTGGTTATGATGTCTTTACTTAAAAAAAAAAAGATTATGATGGACCTATATGAAAACAGCTGCGCTCATAAGTGAGTTCCTGAGAAACAGGCACCTACATTCTTTGGAAATATGCAATACAAAAAACTGGTCTATCTGAAAATAGGATGGAGAACCACTGTCTGCCTTTCACAGCTAGAATAATTTAATTGCCTTCCATTCCACAATGGTTCTTAAATATTCGAACTTTTAATTTGAAGGGTGAATTCATCTGTATATCTTTCAAATGCTGCCTATTTGTCTTTTTGAACAGTGAAGCAGATGCCAGAACAGTGTTGCCAAATAGTGATGTTTATACAATAAGCCACTGGTTAGTTTGGTTAAAAAACAGTTGGGAAGAACATGTTTCCATTATTTTTCCTTAATGTTTATTTTTATCTTTGGGTTATCAAGTAACCAGCTGTGACCTTTGTCTGCCTGGTGAAGGCAATAAGTTGCAGAAAGAAAATATGAAATATATAAGCACATTAGTCATTACTCTTTTCCTGTATTTGAGCAGCTTGCTAGATTTTTAAATAGTTTATCTTTCTGTTATTACAAGAAAAAAAATCTTTAAACCAACCCCACCCCCCATTCTATTTGGGCTCAGTTTGGAGGCACTTGCAGGGTTTCATTGGAAATGTAGCTTCCCTAAGCAGGAGTGGCTGTCACCAGATAAATTTTTACATTACCGCTAGTTGAAAATGGGCTTTTTTAAAAAAAGTATGAAAAAATAGGACTCTTTGGTTCCATAGTAATCTAGTCCTTGAATAACGAAATCATGCTGTTCAGTGCTATGATTGTACTCAGTTTGTCAGCCGGACAACTATGTCTAATTGGAGCAAGTAATTAAATAGATGTGGATATTAACAACCATATAAGAAGGCCAGATAGCCATGGGCAGCATAACCATACCACTTGTTGTCTTTTTAAAAAATTGTCAGTTTAGTTTGTTCAAGACATTTGTTCTTTTAGTTTGGGGTTTTGTTTTTGGCCTTATGTTGACTTCCTCTTTCACTTCTGAGCTGAGCGGTTTTCATGCTGGTCCTGCTGCTTTCTTGAAACCAAAGATGTAACCTGGCTGAACCTGTTGCCTGGCCGTGACTCAGTTCATCCCTTCAGATGTTAAACATTAGATCTTGATACACTGAAAAATGAGCAAAAGGTCAATAGAGCACATGCAAGAAGATACATCCCTCCTTCCCTTTACAGTTGACAGTGTTAGTCAGCTTTTCTTCTAGCAGGAATAAAGCTGTAGCCAAGAAAAAACAATAAGGTAGAGGTGGACTGAATGATGCATGTATTTGAGAAACAGAGAGAAACTTTGGTGCATTTTTGTCCAGCAGTTGAGCAGATATCGTTAAAAATGTAAGCATGTTGTTTTTCAGGGCTCCCCCCCCCCCGAAATGTTTCTCTCTAGGGTAAAGCATATGGTTTCTCTTATAGGGTAAAGCATTCTAAAACTGCAAACATGTAGAGATCAAATATTTACTTGCCTCAGAAAGCAGTTCCTCTGAAGCCGATTTTTCCTCTGCCCCTTTCCTTGGCAATCCAAGGGCTGTTTCACAAGTTTCATGAGTGGGAATGCATGCAGAAGAGAACTATGGCCAATCCAAGCTGTTTGGCATGAATTCACTTGCAAGCTCACTTTTATTTACGTTCCATTTTATAATATGTGAAGCAGCTGTAAACTTTATATGTTGAAGGGATGGTTTAATAATCACTTTATCCATATGCTGTTTTAAGAGACTTGGTACATTTTTTAATAAGCCAGGAGTGTTAATTCTTTTTTAGTATTCTTTTTCTTTCTGTATTAATTCCAAAGCACTGTTCTGGTAGTGCCAGAATATTATGGACTTCTGCCTCACTCATGTATGCATATCTGTGAATCCCTTCCTTCAAAATATCATTTATTCCTCTATGAGTTGTAGCATTACTTCTATACAAATGCTAGGTTTAAGTAGGTTAGGCAATGATGAGAGAGGAAGGAAGGGAAGAAAGGAGTCGGTAAAATGTTTAAACTTTAGATATCTGAATTCCAGGAAAACAGATGTTTTGAATTGATACCTCCTTCCCCCCCCCCAAAAAAAAGATTGTTCCCTGGAGTTACTGGAGGAGCAACCAAGAAGTTGTGTGCAACTGTTGGGATTTTTGAACAGCACCCCCACACACACTGAATCACAACCGGTTTCTGAAATGTTATTGAGTTCCTAAGTGCTTTTGTGTATGTCCTGTATAAACACACTTCCAGTCATGTTTAGCTTCTGGAAGTAGTTGTATGGTCCTATGGGACGTGTGCATCTGCTGGATCATTAAAGACTCTTAATGTAAGTATACTGAAGAGACAGTCCCCTGTACATGAAGTACGGTCAGGATTTGAGCCCAAAATAATATTAATAAGCTGTATAAATTGGTGAATAGGCATTTATTAGACAAAGTGCTGCTGCATTTCCATTCATTCAGTGATTGTACTGACTTCCCCTACCCAGGAATTGCACAACTAAGCTTGTCATTTCTTTAAACTGAGTTTTGGGATCTTCCAATAAGAGTCTTTACTGCCTAAAGCTTTCAAGGAGGTTGGCTAAACAAGCCAGGTTCCCCAGTGAACATTGTGCTGGTTGCTAAATGAAACAAACATAGGTACGTGCTTTGTATTGCACATGTAGCAGCCCTTTAAAATGAGCTGCCACACACAAATCACACTAGTGAATTCTTTTGCTTTGCTATCCTTATGCTTAAATCCGGCCTAACTACCTGTTAGTGTTCGTGGCTATGAGAAATTCCCCCCCAAAATTGGCAGCAAATCTCACCAATGTTTAAGGTCCAGAATA